GCTCACGGCCCGGCCGACCTGGACCTAGTACATGTTCGCTGCCAACGATCAAGCTCAAGAGTTAACAAACAAATTTAGAGGGGCTCCCATACTTTGATGAGGGCCTCACTCCTTGGTCTCAAGGAATGGTGGTGAACATTGCCAGACTGATGTGACTCAGCGTCTGGATTTGCGCATGTCATCAACTTCAGGATTCCGTCCAAAGAATTGCAGCGAGAACTACGACGGAAAACTGCCACCAGGCAGTGCAAAAAAACCAGCTAAGAGGTTCCTACAAAGCGTTCAACATAAATGTGCCGACGAACTTCGGGCTGTAAGCACCTGCCGCCGGCCTGTTACATGAAGTCACGACACTCGGCAGACCCAAATCGAAAAACCAAGTGTCCAAAACAACGCAGTCTGTATCTCAAGTGCAGTCATGGCAACTGCTGCATCTTCTATGCTGGAAAGGCATGCCCATTAGGACACTGACTACTTGCCATCGTAGGCTTTTTACGTCGCTATTCGGAAGCCGCGCACTACATGTCTACTCCATGTACAGGGCACCATCCAGAACACCAGGAGATAGTCAGGAGACCAGCCACGAGCACTGCGACCCAGACGACAACACACCAAGAGACCCCCAGGAGACCTGCAGGAAATCAACGGACCATGGACCATGGCACTTATGTATGCTTCCCCTTAGCTTGCAGGATCTAAAGGAAACCCACCCCGAATACTTTCCCCCAAAACCTTGAGTTTTCGATTGCCAAAACTGGTCCAAGTGGTATTCTTTGCAGCGAATCCTGGCCCGGGGAGCGGGTCTCACGCGAATCCTGAACAAACAAGAGGACGCCAGCAAAAGAGTATGCACCGCACAGTGAGAGACGCGGGCCCCGAGCATCCTGTGCAAATCGTATAAGAGGACACAAGGAACCAGAAGCTACCCCAATCAAGTTCTCTCTACAATTACCACAGCCCCCTCTGGGAGCTATTCAGAAACATCCAGCTCTCGGTTGCTGAGTTTGGCAAACCTTCGTTTTCATTCATGTTGATGCCTTGATCAGGATTACCATAAGGATCCTAAATCCGTTAACATACTCCAAACACGGGTCAGCTAATCTGGGGTCTACATCATCCTCACTCCACCGACCCGCCCGACGCTGCTTACACACAATATGCCTCCTACAACCACAGTTGTCAACTCTAGTATCCCCCTGCTGCCGTCACGGTACTGCACTCAACGAAAGGATTCTGTCAACACGCGTGGACCGGAATGTGAGGTGATTGGACCGAGAAGACAGGGACCTTGCTTCTCAGGCCTCAACTAGCATCAACTAGCCACACAGTCTCAGATTTGGTTGCTGGAAGGCTCGCAAAGCAGCTTGACACCGGAAGCCGATGGATGCTCATCAACAGAGGACAGACAACCTGCTTCTCTGGGAAGACTCTGTCAGCCCACCGGGCTCTATCTGCCAAGAGCCCTGTTACTGCAAGCGAGGCACAGCATAGAAATCTGTGTAGCGCACGACATTTTCGTGGCGCAGCGCCTGAAGCTTCGACATGTACCGCCAGAACTCCTGAAGATGCTGCAGGACTTCGGCAAGGCTTTAAGTGTTGCGATTCTCTAGCGTGCAAAGCCTTCCCTTCCGTTCTGCACAGGTTAGCTGATTAGCCTTGACAGGCCAAAGTAGAAAGTGTTTTTCCTCTCGGCAGGCCTGTCTATTGCTCTGCACCGCATTCCGTTCTTCTGTTCGGGTTCTGGCCCCAAAATGCCGAGTCAGCTTCGCCGAAGTTCACATGTGCCTTGCTTGTGTTCGGTTCTGCTGGTACCTGCCTCAAACCAGCGGAGGTAGAACCAGGTAGGAGGTTCAAATTCTCAAAACTTGTCCTCTGTTTCCGTGGTGCGCTGCCGACGTTGCTTCAGCAACGGATGCTCCTCGGCTGTTGGACTTGCGACTCAGGGGGTAACTAAGCCGAAGCCATCAAACCAGGAGCTGCCGAAGTGAGGTTCTTGGATGTGGAGTCGGGCTCTTTGAGATTGAGATGATGTCAGGGCGATGGTAGGCCTGGTACAGCTGGGCAAACATAGCTTGCAATGAAACTACAATGGGTACAGCGCAGGGAAGGTGTAAGAGCAACATGCCTATACCCCTGATGCTGTGTACAGCACGCTGTCACCCTAGCAATCAGGCAAAGGAGACTGGCAAAAGTCGAAATACTCACAATGCTACACTGCTACACACCTTCAACCTCGCAATACGATTCAAGCACTGTGTCACGGGCGCTCTACCTCATCCGACAGAGGTTAAGCCCAGCCAGTTCTGGGAACCGCAACCTCAAACCACTGCTCCCGCAGACAGGCCGGACCGAGGCTTCGGCTCTTCTGCGTACGATCTTCACGACGCTCCGCCTTCTCCACAGAAAGCCATGTAAGCCGAAAGCGACACTTGCAACGCTTGGCAGACTTTGTGCAAAGTGCCACGTTGCGCCCTTGTGACACAGCTGTGCTGCAATCCAGCCACTCGTGGGAACGTCCATTGCAGTGGAACACTGTCCCGAAAGTGCTGTCGGTGATCCTCGGCTTACGCAGCAAAACTGGCGCTCGCTTGCTGTTCCGGCGGTGCACAGGTGGACCGGTGGCGATCTTTCTGGCATGGCAGGAAATGGGGAACTAGGCCCGACCGCAGAGGCCACTGCGGGGTTGAAGGAGAAAAAAATTTGAGGGCTCACCGCACCACTGCAAAGAGCATTGCGACAGCATCTCTGCTCCCTGCAGAAACGTGCCCTTCCAGCCTGTAAAAAAGCTGGAAACTTTGACAAGTGGCCGCTCCAGGGTAGGATAGAGATCGTTGAAACCTGACAAGACAAGCTTGCATATGCCTTAAGAAGGCCCTGCCCCTGCGCCAGTCACACTCCACCCCGAAGCGGCTAAGCTCTCGGTGCCAGGGCACCACCCGGCTTGCCGGCATCAGGAAGGCGCTTAAATGGGTCTGCCTCGGTCGCAGTCGCTGTGCCCAGGCTCTCGCAGAAACTCGGCCTATAGAAGAAGCTAAGTGCGCATCCAAAGTCCCTTAAGGTGTCACAGCCGGAGACCGTCGGAGACCCAAACTCTTCCTCTCTGAGCTGCATCGCCGATCTTCAGTGCAGGCAGCTTCTTCAGGCCTTGCTGTGTAGTGGGGGACTTGGGGAGCTGACAGCGGCGGAAGGGGAGTCAAACCACGAGAAGTATGCTTGACAGTTGCGATTCAGTGAGAGCTCCAGTGCAGACGATCACCGATGACTTCGAGAACAAGACGAGCATGCTTGACATTCCCCCATCGCTACAGAACACCTGCTCTGACTGTGGATTTGTAAGGAGCCTTGAAAGATCCCTGCATGAATTCTTCAAGTTTTCCAAACGCATACCTGCAGACATGTCATTGGACCTGAAGCGCTCAACCCTGGGAATAACAGGTTACAGCATCATAACTGTAGGGTGTACGTAGCCGCCTTTAAGTATAAGGTATGACCCTACAAAATAGGACCTAAATAGGAGTTACGATCATGGCCCGACAAAACGAACCCCGCAACACCGAACTAGACCCTGAACGCCTGAACCAATGAAGCATGATGAAACAACATGATGAAACATGATGGAAGCATGCAAGATGCCCGAAGTACCCGCCTCCAATGCTGGAGCTGGAGCTGCTCTTTACTGTGCGCGGGGACCCCCGTCGCCGGAGCAGCTCCTCTCAGATGATGGGGTCGAAGGTTTAAGGTTTATGGATGTTTTACTGCTTGTGTTGTCAGAGGGTCCTGTTGCACTAGCTACATCGTAGGACGTCCATGATGCGCACAGGATTCGTTTTTTAGCGCTACGGTGTTGCTTAGAGCTGGGGCTTTACAATGACAGCAAGCCCGACTGATGCATGTACCCTTGCACAGCTCATCGCGGCCCAGGCACCCAGAGAACCAGCACAGGGCAAGAGACGATGAAGGCGAGGAGAAACCGACGTCGCAGCAGAGACAGCCTTCGTACACAAATGACGCAAATTGAGACCTCCTGGCTGAGTCGCGGCTCTTCTGCAGCAGCTTCCCTCGATGGCAAAAGACTGCCACATTCTAGAAGCTGCGAATTAAACTTGTTGATCTGCTTCCAGATGTGTTGCCGGCTGCCGGCACCCACGCAAATTGGACTGGGCAGAATTGCTGGCGAGCAGCGTGCCAAGCAAAGCCTGCGCCAGAGCTCGGAACGCTGCATATCTTGCCTACGCTTCGGAATCAAGTGTCAAGGCTTTTGCCTGGAGGACTCATCCATCAAGCATGGATTTGTAAACGCACTAGCGTCACTAGCGCCGAAAGATGCTCAGAAGTCTTGAACTGCGTCTTCGACGTCTCAGCTGGGGCCTTGTGAAGCCTTGCAGTTGGCAAAGACAGCGCTGCAGCCATTATCGCGGTCGGAGCCCCCTGAAGCCTTCCCACTTGTGGCTTGTGGTTGGCGTTGCCGTCCTATACGGCTACTAGTAGTCTGCTGGGAACTGTGCGGATCGAGCAGCCACTTTAGGCTTAGAGGCTTTGCAAGCTGAGGAATCTTCCTTAAGCCTCGAGCGAAGCTGTGACCTTTGAAAGCCTCAGGCTCGAGCTGGTAGCACATGCAAGCGACAAGCAAGCAGGGTGAAGCACCTATTTCTGGTGATAAGGTCTTGGGTGTAGACAGAACTCGTCGTTACATCGTCGTGAAAGTGCCTCATGCGCAATCAAGCTTTTTCGCCGGCAAAATGCAGCCTTCGGTCTTGCAGGTGAGGACCTGGTTTCTGCAAAGAATGTCGACTTCCTTTTGACTTTGCCCAAACTAGTACAGCAAGCCAAGAGCCTCCAGGTCCCAGAGGACCGTGAGGATGGAAAGCAGCACAGGGTCGACTTCGACGCCCACGCAGCACACAAGCAGCTGTCGTGTCAATCGCAGACGCGAGCATGGTGCGTCCATTGATCCATGATTTGTTGCACAATGACGCTCGACAGCGGGCCTGGATGGTGAATCATATCTCGGTAATGTCTGCACGCTTCACCTGCAACGGCCAGAAATCATCGAAAAGTATGCGTGCATCACAGGCAGTCGCAAAACCTTCTTGGAAAGATTTGATGGCCTTTTCCGTCTGTGCGTTCATTCGGTGGATTGCCTCAACATGCTCCGGTAGCAGTCTTCCGTGACGGTCTCTTTCTCTGCGCACAAAAGGATACGATTGCCAAATGATGAGGCCAGGAAACACGTCGTGCAACATCCGGAGAAGCTGAGGAAAGTTTGTGTAGTTCAGCGCTTCCTCCCAACGAGGCAAACAGTCTGCCAACTGTTGCCCTCCATCTCCCCAGCCGCGCGCGATCATGTAAGAGTCATTGGCTGCCACAGAGCCGACAACCAGCAAGTCCATGCTCTGCGCACCGTTCAGTTTCTTGCTCAGGCATGCGGATGTCGACACAGGAAGCTTAGTTCTACAGGCATCTTTCCCATCTGCATTTGGAGACAAGCTCAGTGTGTTCTTCCACAAGAAACGCACTGCCGTTGAGCCACAGTGGAGCTCGCAGCTACTGCTGCCCAAAATTCCCTTGCACACCTACTGCTCTTGCTTACGGTCAAGAAGTTGGCTCACATTAGACTGACCACTCTTCGCCAGCTCACAAATTTCAAACCCATAAGTCGCGTCACAGAATTCCTAAGCATATAGACATTTTTGCGGTTTGCATCGAAAACGGGCGCTTCGGTTGGCTCTTTGTGTGGAGTCCAGGGAGGTGGACGAATCCAGCCTGGTGTTCGGGGGGCTAGCAAGACTTGTGGCGCATGCGGAAGCCCTCCAAACCTGACAGGACACCTGACAATGCAAAGCCCAAACAGATAAAGCGGTTTAGGGTTTAGGGTTTAGGGGAATGACCATTACAGCCTGATGTTGCTGTCTGTCCTCCTTTACACGGAATTTTTCAGGACTGGAACAGGCCTGAACTCCTAAAGCCAACCCAAATTCCTGCCGCGGCTCTTCCAAAGTCCCTACAACCCAAGACCCCAAGCCCTGCCATTAAACCCATGGAGTACGCACCCTTCTCAAGAGCTCAGAAGAGAACCTTTGAAACCCCCGAGATGATAAGCACCTCCCATCCTACAATTCCTCGGTGCCTCAACCCCAAACCCTGAACCCCGATTCCCAAATCTTGAAAAGGATCCACGAAACCGAAACCCAGAAAACAGATCCTTCTCTCCTTCTACCTTTTGGGCTTGGGCCTTCTATTTCAAGGGTCCCATTTCCCAGCAGTAGCTGGACTACATCGTCTTCCAGTTAACGAGCTCCTCCCATCCCGAATCAAACGCCACCTTGTCTTTAGTTTATTGTTCTTTGTGCGCTTTTTCCTGCTTCCGACCGTCGTCGATCCGTTTTAGTAGCGACTAGCTCTATTATACGGTCCGGTTGTTTGCCTTCGAGAACAGTACAATGCGCTGAGTTCTCGCCGCATTGCACGGCTCGCGACTGATTCCGTTTCCCTTCCTTGGCTTCGCTCCGACTTCCGACTCTGCTTGTTGCCTTCCCGCCGCGGATTTATATGCTTTGGAGCCTAAAGGCTCCGGCTCGTGTGCGCATTTAAGGCATGAAATGAAACCTGGGCCCTTCTAGCATTCCAATGTGCTGGCAGATTTCGATATGATGCAGGAAGTTTCTTCGCCTGATGTAATCTGTCCACACTGTAGCTGTTCTGATATAATCTCTTCCCCCTAGTGTTAAACGCCCCTCCCCGCCCCCCTCCTTAATATTAAAACTGGATTTCGGCGGT